CAGGAACTGAACTGTAAAATTATTTACTGCCCCTTTAGGAGGGTCATCTAGCTTGCTTAACTTTTGCTGGCAAACGTTGTTTGTTTTTTCTCTGAGTGATTCCTATGGAATATGAGGCAGGTATGCAGAATGTTACAGGAACACTTTTCTGGTACAAAAATGACCTATGGGTGTCACTGTTTTTCCTCCTCTTCAGATTAAACTTCTGGTGAAAAATATCTTTTTTTCTGGCAAAGTCTAATTACTTTTGCTGTGTTTTGTTTCTATCCACTGTCCAACTTCATACCTTGTTTCAGGCCAACTTATTTCACCCCAGACCTAATTACAACACCATGGTGGTGAGAGTTAGATATTAATTTCTTGGCTTGCTTTCTTGATTGTTCTTCTGCTTGCTTGCTTGTTTGCTTCATTCATCATATCTTATTTCCTATATCTGTTTAAATTAGGTCCTTGTGTTTTCTCCCAGCTTGAAGCCAACAGTTCCCATTGACAGGTCAGTCAGTTCCCTGTTCCACCGACAGCGTGTACAGCAGCCACGGAACTCCCTCATCTGGTGCCAGTTGTGTCAGAGGGGCAAAGCTCCTTAGTCCTTCATTTTGCTTTGGTTGTGAGTCTTTGTCTTGAACACTGAAATCAGAATAGCTGCTGTTCTGAAGGCTGGGCCTGTGTTTTGGCAAGCTGACCTTGCTCCTGCAATCAACAGTCCATTTCTAAAGGAAAGTTAAATTTCCAAAATGTGCACTTAGGGACTGCAATAAAACTGTTCTCCTGACCAAATATTCCAACCCAAAAAACCCTCAGAAAGCTGCAAGGCAATCATACCCTACCACAATTTTCTCCTCCTCAGCCAGCTCTACTCATTTTTGGGATTTTTACTGGTTTCTTACTTACTTTGTCTCTACTTTGTTCCAGGGTTCTCCTAAAGTTCAGAGTTAATGTATTAATACAAAGTTACACAAAATCATTTCAATTTTTTGTTGGCTTTTTCTAGCTCTTCATGTTCCAGCTTTTGCATGGCCTGGCTTACATCCACCAGCAACACGTTCTTCACCGTGATCTCAAACCCCAGAACTTGCTCATCAGTTGCCTTGGTGAGCTCAAATTAGCTGACTTTGGTGAGTCACAGTTTGGATACTGCTAATGTATCTGCTCAGACCAAAGCTTTAACATGCATATAGATCTGTATCCACAGCCAATTAAGGCATAGAAGCATAACCTTTTACTGAACTTCAGGAAGCTATTACTGTGGTCAGTCCAGCCTTTCTTGTATTTATACTGATAGATGCAAGGATTAACCTCATTTAAGTCAGAGCAATTACTGACATGTAAAACTAGTTCAAGAGAACAGAGACTCAACCCCTCTCTGTCCAGAAATAATGTAACGTGTGGAGTCCACAGCAATGCACTGAACCAAAAGGCTTTCTTGGCATTGGTTTGGGGTGGCTGTTTCAGTTACAAATGATAAAGCCCTGAAAAACACAGTATATTGCTAGATCTGATCTGCCCCAGGAGTATATTCCAGACACACTTTCTTTGTCAATTGCTTGTAAACTGCATTGGGATTACTTGTGTTTAAAAAGCCAAGAGAAAATAATATCCTGTTTTTGATTATTACAATCTATGCACTGCACGGGTAGAAAGACTGTCCTACCACAGCAGTTTGGTTGGTTGGTTGTTTTTATTGCAGGCCTTGCTCATGCCCAGTCCATCCCCAGACAGGCATACTCCTCTGAAGTGGTGACACTCTGGTATCATCCTCCTGATGTGTTGCTTGGAGCTACAGGTTATTCTTCTGATATAGGTATCTGGTACTGACCAATTTCAAAGCATCTGGGGTCCCCTGAGAAAAATGATTTTTATCCAAACTAAACTAAGTCAACTAAAGTTACAGTCAATAGAATTGTAAATCGAGGAATTAACACCTGTGAGCAGAAAATGTGTGAGCAGTGGGGAATTTTGTACTGCTGAATTCATAGAAGTTTTGGGGAATTGCATCACTACATTTCAGCTATGGATTGATATAAACCTCATCTGCTAATATTAATGAGAGATGTACATCTCATTTGGTAACATGTATGAAGCATTTTCAGGTCTTGCAACAGAAAACCTTTGCTTAATGCACTCAATGTTATGTATGTGTCCATGTGGCCTGCTGAGTCAGCAGTAGCTCTCTACAGTGAAGAAACAATAGATCCACAACTGTACTATCAATAAAATTGGTAACAAAATGTGGCATTACAGGGTTTCTCAAGGGGTCTAGAGATAGGAAAGTGTCTGAGATTTTCATTATTTCTGTGATACTATGTCCTTCTTCTTGAAGAATATGTCTCAGGTGCAGTCTGCATTTAACACAGAAGGGATGTGTCTGTTAAAGCCTTGTTACCTTATGAATTCTACCCCAAAATATTCATGTGGTTGGGAATCACAGGAAACAAGCCACATGTTAGCAGAGCCAAAGGGACAGGAGTCTCTGAGAGCAGGCAGAAAGCAAGAGAGGATGGGGACTTCACAGGGGTCCCACTGGGTCTTCTGGGCTGGCCTGGATGTGTAGCTGGGCCATAAGGTTCTTCTGCCTCCTGGCTCACTTCTGCAGCAGCCTGAGGCCACTTGCAGCAGCACAGTCCTAGCTTATGCCCAGACAGCAGGCAACCTAGGAAGTTGCAGGAGACCTTCCTTATTCTGGGCAATTTTACATATGTAGATGGTATTGCTGCTTCACCCTTTTTTAGGCCAGTGAATCTGCCTGTATCTGTCCCACCAGGACTTTTCTTAATTGCTCTGCAGAGTCTAAGGCTGGGAAAGGGTGAGAGTGTGGCAGGCTGAAGAATGTGCAAGAGGAGGGCTGGCTACATTTACAAACAGCGAAGCTCCAGGTCTTCCCAGGCTGTATCTCCCTCCAGAGCTCTGCAGCTTATCAGACACTCCAATGGCCTAAGTCTGGAGCATAGTTCAGGGAAACAGGAGTTTTTAGATTGTTTATTTCCCTAGGACTGCTGGTAATTTAATTGCTTAAAGATTTCTCTGAGGAGGAAAACCTTGCTCAATTCTAATGGCTTCCAGCTGTTAAGCCAGTCTAAGTAGTCCTGTCTTCTCTCCCCCACTACCTGTCATCTTTCCCTCCAGACAGTCTCTCAGAAATGTCTGCTGAGTCTGAAGATGCCTGCCTAGCAGATTGGAGGGTTTGTATTAGGCATAAGCCTGTTAGTTTTCTTCCTGAAAGTTGACCCCTGTCCAGAGTCAGCTATGCACAGAAAATGTGGCATTTCTGCTTATGCAAAACCAACATCCCCACTGCATAACTCTGCTCTGGTGTAATGAATAGCAACATAGGAGGGGTACACAAAGATCCCATCCAGCACTCTGACCAGCTCTAACAGCAGAGTGCTCTCTGTCCCACTGAACTACATTCACGCTATAGGCACTTTTGTTATAATGCCTCCTTATAATAACAACATTCAAAGTGTTTGCCCTAAAGAAAGATATCGTGCTGAGAGAATAGAGAGTACTTCAGTGAGCTCTATTCAGTAACTTCCTCTAACAAGAGTCATTTATTATCTTGATGTACACTGCATTTAAGTTCAATTTTTGGCTATTAGGAAATAATGTGAATTCACACAGATGTTACTTGTCTATTGGGAAGAAAGGAAAAAAAACACCCCTATGTCTTTTGGAAGCTGCAATTTACATGAAGGCAGGTCAGAATGCCCTTGGCAATGGCATGAGACAGTGGGTGTCAATGCTTTGGCTTAAAGAAACCAATTATAACAAAATAAAACATTATGGCAATTCATGCATAGTGTGCTTGAGCAGCAATACTGTCAGTGGGAGGCACATGGGAAGTGAATGAGGCCTTGAATAGATGAAGAAAGAGATATAGAAGGAGACTCAGTCACTCTTGGACTAACTAGAAAAGCTGTTTTAATCTCTCTGTATCTCTCTTTCTCCCTCACTATCTCTTCAAGACTTTAGAAGATTCAATTAAGGGATTTCAGGGAGATTACACTACGTATCAGAAGGACTTTTTTCTTCTTTTTTTGAAAAACACCAAGTGCTTTATGCATGTGCCACACTTGTGGCTGCTTACTTCATGAGTGCTTTAAGACGTCTTCTTTTCAGTCAGGCTTTCCTTGCATAATCTTCCATTTTAAAAAAGAGAGAAAAAAAATCACAGGGATCTTTCCAGGTAGATTCATGTAGAACAGGAGTTCACTTACAGTCATTTAACATGGACCTGCCAGACCTGCTACAGCCTTTTCCTCAGCCTGGCTCACATTGCCCTGCTGTGTGAGGGTCGATAGGAGATGTAGGCTAAGGGGTACACTGTACAGACTATGCTCAGCGAGGAACAAGAGAAAGGATATATTTCTGGTTAAATACAAAATTGCCATCTCCTGATGCCAAAAAACCACAAACCAAATGTGGAGAGGGAACTTTGGGATGCAGCAGAGATATCTTAGATCTTAATCTTGATGAAAAAGTCTCTCCACTGTGTGATGCAGCACTGCAGGCTGAGAACTAAGTGCAGTGTTTGAACCTGCCCCAGGGATTGCAGGCAGGTAAAACTGTGCTGTCTGAACCAGCTCTGCTTATGCTCTCTGAATATCCCTGTAACCTCTCCTGTTAGGTTAGCTGTCACTGTCTTGATTCATGTGCATATCTGGCACATGCTAAAACATCATGTCTAGGCCTCTTTTCAAAAGACCCCTCCCTCTGCCCTACGTCTTCCCAAGGCAGCTTTATGGGACTAAGAACCACTGAGAAACTTGTAGACTGGAAGAGGTTAGAGACCTTGGAAATTAGTGTCAGAGGGGTAAGAAGGAAAAGAGGAAAAGCAAAACAACACCAGGTTTAAATATTTAGTGTGCTGGTTTGGGCTGGGGTAGAATTAACTTTCTTCATACTGGTTAGTACAGGGCTATGTTTTGGATTTGTGCTGAACACAGGGTTGATAATATGGAGATGCTTTTGTTATTCTTGAGCAGAGTCTTTTAGTGAAAAGATTGTTCCGTTAGATTTGAATTTTTGAACTCTTTACTCATGAGCAATTCTGAGCAAAAGCAAGCTGAAACTAGGAAAAAAAGTTCCTGCTGTTGGAACAGCAGGAAATGGCCTCTAATGGCCATCATTTGCTTCAAATCAGGATCATTTGCTTCAAAAACACATAGAGCTGATTCTCTTCTCCCTACAAATCAAGAGTATCTAAACTGCATTGACAATACACAGTTAAACAATGCAATCAGTGGATTACAGCAGCCCCTGTGGTTGCAAAATAGAAGTTGGTATGACACTGGTCTCAGTAGAATCTGTCTGCAGGCTCGAAAATAATGACTAGTGATGTGGTAGTGCTATGAAACGCAAAATAAGTCTATGTTGCAAAAGCTATGGTTTAAGTTTCGTGATGTCTGGACTTTGTAAGAACATATTAGACAAGCAAGGAGCTCATCTCACAAGACTTGCCAAGGTTAGGGTACAGGAAGCTAAGGGAAAGTGCAGCAGAGATGTTTGTGAAAGCAACATTAGATATGGATCTGCAAACAGTCTTGGCATTACCTGGTGTGCAAGGATGACCAAAATGAATACTGCAGATGAGTTGCATATCAAGATTTCAGCTGACCATAGCCAGGTGGGAAAAGCCACTACAGTATTGCAAAAACAAGGTGCAAGGGGTAACACAGGAGCACAGATGATCAGAAGAGGTTAGCAGCTATTGCTCAGCAGGAGAAAACAATACTTTCAGAGCCTGTAAGACAAAGCTGGATTTCAATATTTGAGCTTAATGGACTCAAATGTGCTATAACCAAAGAAGATTGAGACTTAAACCTGAAAAGTTGTGATGGGACTTAGTGGAAAGACAGGAAACCTAGAGAAAGTTTTGAGGAAAAAGACTAAAAAGTGAATGAGCAGAGTTTTACACCGTACAAGAAGAGATGGGAGCAGTTGCAAATAGGTAAGTCTACCCTGGTCACAACTGTCCTATCATTATTGCCATCAGGACTAAACGACCTTAGTAAAATTCAGCATTTTTCCAGGTGTTGGGGTTTGTTTTTTAAGCTGGCAGGTTTGCTTCAGCACCAGTGCAGAGCAGGAGACGACATAAAAATAAGAATACTTTAACTTGCTGTTATCTCTAGGTTCTTAATGCTACGAAATCTTTCCTTCAGTTTTCCAAGGAAGAGCTAATTGCTTCTGAAGGAAAAATTGCTCTAGTGGTCAGTGCCTCTGGGTTCTTTCTGCATCTAATGTATCCTTCAGGACAATGTAGTGTGTAGTAGTTCCCTGTTTATCTTTCCTAATGTTAGCACTCCAATTTTGCACCTTTTCCTCGTGGAAAGTAACCTTGTATTCCACAGGCTTCTGCCATGACCCTTTCTTCAGATGGTTTGTAATGGGATTAATTGACAGAGACCTGAAACAAGTTATTTGGAACTGGAAAAAAATATAGTTCTTAGTGAGTTTCTTTTCCAAACATATCTCGTCTTGTAGGTGAAAGGTGAGGGGGTTTTTTTTCAGTGGGTGGTGCTGATGAGAAAAAGGAGATGGGAACAGACTTGGATGGAACTTTGACTGTTTACTCTTTTTTTCTAAAGTCCTGGAGGGATGTGAATGTGACTTATCTCTGGTCTACTCCCATCTGATTTGACTTGTGAGCTTTTTATTTCAAGTGATTCAATCTGTAAGACTAGGATGAGGTTAATGATACTACATACAACTTGCAACAAAGGCCAGTTGCAAGTGCTTAGAACATGCTGCAAGATCAGGGATGTACAAGATGGCCCTTCCCAAAGGAAACCTTTCTGACCTTCCACAATCAGTAGGTTTTTTTCATAATGTTAGATCCTGCCTACCACCATACTGTAAAGGTAGAACAGTCTTCACTGAAACCTTTATTTATTTGCATATATAAAGACCCCCCACATCCTGCCTTGCTTCACACACACACTCACTAGATGACATGATGTGGGGTATACAATACTGACACATCAGACTGGTACTGTTCAGATTTGAACTGCAATATATATAGGATTTACATCTTATATCAGGATTTCTGCATTACAAATCAGGATTTCTAAATTTCCATTCCAACAATTATCTCTCTGCCTCTCTCCCCTCCCATCCCAACAATCATATTATATGTCATGTGTGTGAATGAGTTAATACCTTGGGTTTCTTGCAGGAGTGAAGGCTGTATATTCGTTGAAAGGATCCAGAGTCAGCCAATATTTGCAGGAACTTCTGGTACTCGTGAACAGCTGGAGAAGATCTGGGTGGTGAGTAAAATGTACCCTGAAATGGGAGAGAAAAAGAATCTCTTGCTCCAGCCTACTTAATTTTGAAATCCTATGCGCAGGTCCCATGAGCAGCAGAAATAATTTGGTCTAATCTGCCAAGTTCATAGCAGACTTTGTAACCCATTTTATATTTGGCAACTTTCCTACAGACACAGGAGTAAATCAAATGATTTCTCTTTGATGTTTGTCATCTCATCAAAAATTTAAAGCCAATTAAAGTGATGTTAAATTGAAGAAGGCATAAAAGGTGTGCAGGTACTACAAATTCTGTTGCTTCTTGTTAAATCCTTTACTTACTGTAGGATACAGCACACCATATTCTCACAAAGGAGCTCTAATACTGCTCTCAAACTACCTTGAAAATGGCAAGACCTTGAGGTTTGCCCTTCTTCATTTTTACTTGGAAGATTTTGTATCATCCAGTTTATGGTGCAGCCCTAGAGACTGCTTCGGCATAATGGAAAATGTGAAATTCCTTTATAAAGGCAGCAGTGAGTGAGAGCAGACATGTTCAGGAGCCTCTTGAGCTGGCTTTTTTCTGCTGAAGAAACAGAAACACAGAGCCATGTCCTTAGTGCAGCTTGGTAGGACTGAGGCAGTTAGCAGCACTGACAGATTTAATATCTTCCTGATCGCTCTCTTGCTGACCCTGTTACTGACTTCACAGGAAGGTCCACCTATGGATTCATATTGAGTTTTGCTGTAGGTATCTGCCCTTTCACATCTCCTTCCAGTTATTTACTCTTCTGCATAGTGTGTTTCCCAGACGTGGGTTTTCAGAGGAGAAAGTAGAGCAAAAATGAAATTCGGAAGGTCATGAGAAATTTATAGCCTCAAGACTGTGTAAGTCAGATTTTTCCTTCTTAATCCCTTCATCCAGAAATGTTCATGCTTGGTAGGGTTCTCCTCTCTGCTTGTAGCTAGAATGTAGTAAAAAGTCATACAAGTGCCTTCAGTTCTTAACTTGAATTCAGTCCATTTAAATACATGCTGAATTTCTCCTTCATAGTGAGTGGGGGAAAAAAAGAAATATTGAGAAAAAAACATCCATACTTGGCCAATTAACAGGGTTCAAAGCCAGGGCAAGGCTCAGTTTCTCAGAGTGTGAATGAAGGGTATCCTTCCACTTATGTCTCTGAAATCTCTGGATACATTTCCTGTGGCTTTGCATTAGGGGGTTATAGCCCTATCGTAACTTCTCTGGTATTATAACTAATACCATGATTAATAGGATTTGTGCTATAGAAGGAAAAAAACCCTCTTATTTAAAAATCATGAGGAAGCTTTAAGAGCTATGAAATAATTAGTGCTTTTCACAGAAGTTATACAGCCTGGAATGAGGCTCTGACTTAGGCCGAGATTTCAAAGCTCCTTAGAGGCTTTCAATGCTTAACTCGAGATATTTTGCTGAGTGTGAGGTTCAGAACAGGGATTCCTACTGTTTTCTAATAGTCTGTTCCTTTCATGTACTAATAATAGAGGGACTCTGCACTGCTTTAGAGACCATCTGCATTTGTGTGCATGAGTCTGTATCACCCAGCATGCTTATCTCCACATAGGCCTGTTGGTTCAGACACCATATAGATATATGTCTGGAAAATGCCCGTTCTGTGAAATGCATTTGTCCTGTTGAATCATTAGGACTAACTGACTGTAATTTCACCAACAATTCTTCTAAAGGCAATTGCTACCTCAAGCAGTCTCCATCTCCCATCTCTATCCCTGGCTGCTCATTGCTCCTCCTATGTCACCGCTTACATGTGGGGCTACATGAACTGCGGAACCTGTAACTTTGTTTTCTCCCTGGCTTACTCTAAATGAGAACAGCTCATCATCTGGCTGCACAAACAGTAGCACTAATGACCAGTGAGAGCATGGCACAGGAGCAAGACCAATGGGAAGGCTGGCAGTGCTAGTTATGGAAGTATGGCGTGAGTGAATGTGAACTGCAGCGTCTCCAGTTCACTCATGGCATGGAGAGTGAGCAAACCTGACAAAGCTCCATCATTCAGATTTCAAGAGATCAGCCATAGGTTTTGAATGCAAAAGCTCCATCTTGTTGATTAACATTGTTCTGAGAAGGACTTCATGTGGGTTGGATTAGGCTGCAGAATGTCACTAGAGTGCTTCCGTGGCTGAGCCAAACATGCAGCAAGTGCCAAATGAATGACTATGAGGCTTCTTTACATAAAACATAGCCTCCCAACAAAATTAAGCAAAATCAGCTAGGTTGATCCCTTGCGCTGATATCACTGGAGAAGTAAGCAGTTAGAGGGCAGAGAGAGAACACAATGATCTACACCAGCCTGAAGCACTTGCTTGTAAAATGTTTCTGGCTGAAACTGTGCCTCTTCCCAAGTGGACTGAACTGTGCTGTACCAAGACCTTTCACTACAGAGTGAAGTATAGAAGCTGCTTTGCTTTGTCTGATGGCATGGACCAGAGAGTTAACAGCTAGACTTAGGGTGTATACAAAACAGGTAAAACAATTGCCAGAGTTTAATTAATTTCAACTAAACAAATGTAACACATTACCTGATTTGGCAAGGAATCTCACTAAAGGGTCAGGGGTTAAAAAAAGAAAAAAGGAAAGAAAAGAAAACGGAATATCACCTGCCCCATTACACTGGAAAGCAAAAAATAGATTCAAGTTTATGGGTTGGAATAGCATCTTTTGTAAAGAAAAGGCTCAGGAAATACACATATAAATTCATATGGCATTGAGTGATTGGTACTCTCAATGCTTTCACACCTCAATGCAGCAAAATTTTAGTATTTACTACAAACCTTATGTAGCAAAGTACAGGCATGCACAAACAACTGTTTTCTTAAATTTTTCACAAAGAGTCAGAGTGCTGAGCTCACCCCAGAGAGTATAATTTTACTGTGCACTGAACTTCCCCAGCTTCCTCTGAAGCCTTTAGAACTGATGTCCTATGGCTCACAAGAAACCTTGAAGAACGAGGGCCCACATTAATGCTTCCTGGAAAGCTAACAGCATAGCAAAATAGAGCAAAATCTGGATTCAATCAGATTCCAACTCTCTCTTTGTTGTGCATACAGAGTTTGTTTCAGGTAGACCTGCCCAACTTATACAATACACATACCAGTCAAGAACACAATCTCATCCAGAGCCTTTCATGCGAGCCAACTTGCAACATCCTCACATGGCTGAACACTGCAAGACACCTTCTCATTGAGGACCTTTCAAGCTTTCAAGACTGATTTTACTGGTGACCAGAGACAAGGGTCCTACCACCAAGTCTTTTCTGTGGCAGGCTGAGTCCATAAGCAGTTTGGAAATATGGGTCAGACAAGTCATCCTAGCTTGCTTCCCCCCACAGGCCACCATGCTAATACGTGACAGCGGTGAGATGCAGTCCCTACTTGTGGCTGTCTTCTCCAGGTAGCTGTAATTGTCCTCACAGCTGGAAAACAGCTGTTTCCCATCCCATGAGTGAGAAAAGCAATCAGCTACCAGATGCTTAACAACTGCAACAACCAGGCTTTATATTTCTTCCTTCTTTAATGTATTTTTTTTACTGATGCCTGTTTTCTTGCAAACTTACCACAAGTTTTTGTGAGGCCACGTTCCTCATATCATATATCTCAGCTTACATTTTAAGGGACGAGAATTGTCTATCATACGCAAAGTGCAATTAATGTGAGACAAATCCGATATTGGAGAAGAGAAAGTGAATACAACCCCTGAAATTTTTCATGCTAAAATGTCACTGTTTTTTAAGGAAATCTGATAATTCTGGGGGATGTCTGGATGATAAGCCTTGAATGCTTGGAGCTAGCAGTACTGATTTACACTACCACATAACATGCGATGAACTCTTTAAATATGTGGCTTTACTTCTTTAGCACAAGTCATCCATATCAATATCAATAGGCACTTTGCATGTGTTAAGTAATAATAATACTACTACTAAACATCCTCAACTGCAGATGGTACAGAAATCCAGACATGCTTGATCTCACACATTTCAGCAACTAAAATGTGTTTGGAGGAGGCTTTACTGGCCCAGACTTTGCCCAGTGAGGAGTTACCTTGAAGACCACAATTCCTAATAAAGGCCAAAGACACTGCTGAAGGTCTATATCCTTCAGGATGAGGTGCTGAACTGCTTTCTAGCACCTGCCACTAGACCAGTCTGCCAGCTTTTCTTTTTTCACCTCAGGAGGCAGAGGAGTTTCTATCACAGCTGAGTGTATCAGCTGCTGCCAGTGCAAGTAGGCAGAATAGGTCCCCAGTGTAGCTCTGGTGCAGGAGGATACCCTCAGCAGTGAAAGGGGCTCAACACTGAGACCTCTGGGCTGGCAAACACGTGCAGGAGGGGCACCTGGCAGTGAAGCTGCATATGCCTTCACTGATGTTCCCAGCAGCAACAACATTCAATCTCAGCAGGGCCCTTTCTGCTGTAAAATCAAATGATAAAATGTCAGTGTCCTTTATGCACAGTGGTACACCCAGCACCAGACAGGGCAATGTGAATCTGTGCTGGTTTACAGCAAAGGCCATCACTCTCCATTGAGACTGATTCCTCCAACTCCACACAAAGGCAAAGTACTGGCAGAAAGAGGTTATTGCTCTTCTCACTCTCTGTCTTCTTTTGCACAGGTATTGGGGGTCCCAACTGAGGACACCTGGCCAGGACTTTCCAAGCTCCCCAACTATAACCCAGGTAGGATTTAACTTACAAGAAGGCCAACTTCTTCTCTGAGTCACTAGCCACTCGATTTTTGGGCCAGTAACTTTAATTACGAAAAATCCTGTGCTTTGGCTAAATCCCTTGAGCTACATAATGACAGTGGTGTTGTAGGGCCTACAAAAACACTGGGATTGGTCTAGTACACAAGCAAAGATACATGCATGGCAAAGTTGCCTCACTGAGTGTTGGGTATGTGTCAGTCTCATGGAAGATTTCATTGCTGCAAGTGCTTACAGTGTATTTAGTCTCCACTCTGTGCAAAGGACCAGTGTCTCCTGGTTTAGACTGGAAAAGCTGACAGGCACCTGGAGACACAGTTTATGTGAACTCTCCTTATTTTTATGGAGATTGGTTTGGGGACCTTTAAACATCGGCTTTAAAGGTCACTGTCCCTGATTTTGATGTACGCAAGGTGAGAAATCTGTGTGATTTATAAAGCTGGATTCTTTTATTTCCACATGGGCTGGTAGAGAAGTCTGTGTCCTGGACTTCAAAGGGCCAGTTGTCTCTTATTTTGATGTGGGCAGGTTGAGAAGTATGCTTTGAAAAGCTAGCTCAGTCACTCTCCCTCTCCCCCTCTCCCTTTCTCTCTTTTTCTTTTTGTTTAATGTTTTCTCCTGGGAAAATATATTCAAGTGTCAGTGAGGGGGAAATGATGAGCACTGATTCTCAGCCTCTCAGCAGGATCATTCTGTAAGAGAAATATAAAAGTGAAATATTAAAAACCCTAGAATGTGAAATTCACCCATCTACAATCTACCCATTCTCTCTCACTTGTACACTAGGAGAGTGGTGGGGGGAACCTGTCTATCTGGAAGGGGAAAAAAAAGCAGGGGGGAAAAGGAGGACGGAGAAGATGTGCTTTGAGCAAGAGGTTTACAGGTTTAGTAGAGCATAGTAACATCTTTTCAAAGAAGTGGGTGTTGCTCTGTGACCCAGTCCAAGATGCCCCTCCTTTGATTCTGGTGCATGAACACTAAACAGCCCCCATTTTCACATGGTAGCTGAGATTGGCTGAACAATAACCTGGTCTCACAGTCGAAAGGACCGGAATCCTTCACACAATTAGCTGAGACACATTTATCAAACCAGCGTGAAATGGGAATGTGTCGCTGTACACAGCAAGTTTAATTTGGATAGCAAGCAAGCACAGAGCAGACAGCTGAAGGAAGCATTTTCTTCTTTAAGTTGTTGAAGGCTTGGCTGGGTAGTCTAGCAGTTGGGAAGAGTAGTCTGGGAGGAAAGAAACGCTCATGTGTGGAATGAACTAGTCACAAAGAGGTTTTTTTTACCAGTCAAGTACTCATACAAGGTAAAAAACTCTCAGTGATGATGATTGGGTGTCCTGATGCTATATTGGAGAGATCATCTAAAAGTGCAAGCATTAAGGCTATGTTAGCAAAGAAACTTGTTCAGGCAACATAGAATGTGAGTGCCTAGAACTGCTCTTAGCAGTGATTCCTGCTTAGCTCTATTTTGCCTGAGTAGCAGTGCTGTCCTCTGCTGTTGTGGAGGGTGCTGATGGCAGGGCTGGGAGGGAGAGGACAGGCACCTAAGCAGCATGGCAATAGCTCCAGTAAAGACAAGACTAGTCATCATAAGCAGTTTTCAAGTCTGACTTACTTTCAGACCTGATAGAAACTTTCCCTAATGGACTCTGGAGGGGCAGAATTGACCTGTGCTGTGCTGTGATCCTGGGATGCTGGTGCCTTTTGTGGCTGGACCTGGCAGAAATCCAGGAGTCAGACGACATCTTTCTATGGAAGTATCCCACCATGCTAGCAAACAGATGGGAGAGGGGTGCTGTGTCATTGTTAGGGGCAATAGCTGTGCCAGCTGGAGAGGCAATATCCCTTTCCGCTCCTCAGAGCCTGCCTAAGGGGCTGCGAGCTGTTCCAGCCACATACTGGAACCAAGCACTTGGCTCACACCTGGATTATACACACCAGTCTGGACAGAAGAAGGTTAGTCGTATAAGATTGGACTATTTACCCTACTTATGAACTAAATCAAGTCACTTTTTGATGGTAAGAAGGCAAATTAGTCTCTTTGTTTAAAGCTATTTACCATTTACATGCTTCTGGGCACTTCCCCTCTCTTCCCTGAAGCACAAATTCTGCTTTGCCCCCCTAGGACATGCTCAGTCCAAGTGGAATTTGTGGACTCTGCCTGAGAAAACCTTCTCTCCTGAGGTTATTCCCAGACCATTTGTGCGAATCTGGGTGCCTGGGATGGTTCAGATAAGCAAACAAACTTTGTAGCACTTTCCCAAATCTGATGGTTTGAATTCTTTTAGCTAGTCCTATTGATGTTCGCACTGAGCGCAGGCAGCAAATAAACAAACAGGTTCCTGCCCGAGGCAAGGAACGAACACGGGCAAAACAAAGCACTGAGGTGTGATCCTATTCTCATTGAAGTTGATGGCAAAACTCCCACTGGATTCAGCAGTGTAGGCTCAGCCCCAGACAGAGATTGTTACTGGAAGGGTTCCTGGGCCAGGTGGGTTAGTAGAAATCTTTGAAATGAAAGCTGGAAACCTTTAGATGTTTTCCTGTCACTACTGTGGACTTGAGCACATTCTGCTGCAGTCTGAAAAGATCCATCATTGGATGTCGAGTCTGTGAGCCAGGCACACACAGGGCAGCTGGAGGAAAAGCAGCTCCTCTGCCTCCTCTATGGGCAGCTGGCAAGGCACGAAGTGTGCAAAGGACTATTTGACCACCCTATGCCCCTGTGCCTTCTTGCACAAAGTTCAGAAACAGCCTCATGCCCATTCCTAGGGCATTGCCCCATTTGCCAAAAGCTCAACCTGTGCCTGACCCCAGGTGAACAGGAAGGATGGGTGAGCAACTCTTGCGTGGCCAGCCCTACAGCTTGTGATCTCACCTCCTCTCTGCGGGAGAGACGCTTGGGGTAGGGAATTACATGCAGTCACAAGACCTTAAAGCATGATTTTCCCCTGCCCTGGTTTGAGAACCATTTCCTGCAGAACAGAGGGGTTGAGAGAGAGCTCCTGCCTCACATCTCAGCACACTTGCTGGCCCTCTCCCTGGCTCCCCAGGCTTAGGAGTCCTGCCTATAGCGACTAGGCTTTGCCCTGTGTTTGTTCATTTGTTCTGTTCCCCTCATTTTTCTTCCCCTCAAAGAGGCAGTTGTAGCTCTGTTAACACTATTTTTGAAAGCTCTCATGCTGTGTGAGCTCAAATCCTTGCATTAATCTACTGCTGTGTTCATTTCACTGCACTGAAAAGCAGTGAGCTTAAATCCCCTCTAAACACCATTGGTGACACCAGAAGGCCAGTGTTTTGATCCAGCCCCATTAATGGTTACAAGTTTGAATCTAGACAGCAGGGGTCAAGGGCAGGAAAGGATTAGGAATCACAGCCCATGCCATTAAGCTAGTGCTTTTGCCAAACTGGGAATACTGGAGTGCCAAAATGTACCAAGTAAGGTTTTGTTTCCTTTTTCTGACATTTGGATTCCAAAGAGTGGGGAACAGTGCTCGTCTTTCTGTACCATGATAAATTCACTTTACTCCTCGATTTATCACACAGGCTGACTGATGAAGTTTCCTATGCCAGGTAGCATCACCTCACGTAGTAGGTTTTAAACAGGGTCTTTTCAGATGCAGCAATGACTTTTAAATTAAGACTAGTTTCCCCCGTACCTGCAGGCTTTGCTATGCTGAATGAGATTTAGAAGCTTTCCGGAGTCAACTTGTGCTCCCAGGTGCAGATTTTCAGCATGTGTCACGTTTCCAAGATGTCACCAGCAGATGGAAGCAACAAGCAGCAGGCCCTGGAACGCGAACTTCCCGTGGCATTTGTGAGGATGCAGCTGAAGTCTGCACTCCGAGCGCATTTTATTATTTTTTTATCTTTTTTTTTTTTTTTTTTTAAACCTCGCTTTTTATGCTGATGTTTCATTTAACAAATGGGATGGTTGGAAACTGAATTCTAAAATGATGAAAATTTTATTTTCATAATAAACTGCATATGGCTTTGATCTCAAAGGGAAGAGCAGCACTGTAACTAATGTGCAATGTATGCTGGCCAGGGTGTATGGAAACTTCCTATCTGTCTGATACTGGGCATAGCCTGCAGCTTCCAGCCTGCCACACAGGCAGAGCTCTGCTTCTGTCCTGCAGCCACAGAGATTTCACTAATGAGAGAAATTTTCTCTGTGAGCCTGGAACCCCAGCACCTCCATCCAGAGCACTTGGCATCCTCTTTCTCTCTCTTCAGCAATTAGGAAAGTTTAACTTTTGTCCTCTGGGTTGCTTGCCTCATTATCAGTTCATTAGCCACTTCCACCTGGGTTTTCAAATAGGAACGCATTTCCTCATTAGCACACTGCCTTGCATAAGGATAGAAAATAACAAACCTAAGTGCTACCTTTCAGATCTACCCATATTGTTAAAAAAGCCAATCAGCCCTACACAATCCCATAATTTTATGTCTATATCATCATTGTAAAACAATTAAATCACAAAAACCACTTTTTTGAATGATATCCAAATATTCTTTATCTCTTACCTTTAGGGAGTAGCTGTTTACTTTGTTTTACAGTTTTAGATTGGTCTTAATCTTACAGTAGGGAAAATACTTACTGCTGTTTTTACCCTGCTCGACACAATGGGGCCTTGGCATTCTCTAAGGGTTTGTCTATATGGGGTCAGTCAGGAGATTAATCTGAAGTGATTTAAAGTGGATTAGTTAACTGCATTAAATTCTTGAGCAGAGACACACTGTTTTCTTATCCATATCTTCCATTTATAATCAAAGCCCCATATACTCAAAGTTGCCAGTTTGGCAGGCCTCACTCAAGCTGAATTTTCCACTGAGAGATGTGTTTATACAGGAACAACAGTAGTTGCCTCCCTGGCTCGCTCTTACACTATCCCTTGCAGATAATTATTAATTTCCATGTTTTATAAATGATAAATGTAAGTCAAGAGTCTTGCTCAAGACAGCAAAGACTAATTCAGGTATTCCTCCCAGTTCCCAGTAAGCAAGCTGATATTTCTACTTGTAATGTAAAGAAAATCCTATTTCCTCTTTGGAATGTTAGTTCTGAAAATGCACTCCACAAAAACAAAGTGACATTTCACTTGGATATCATTGAAACATTTTGCCCTGCTGTTACCAACTGAAATGCATTTTTTAACTTGTATGTTAAATTCATTAAAGAATATTGATGTTAAAAGATTTCAGTACAGTTAAAGTAAAATATTTAAGTTGTCTTGACATTTTTATTAAATATTAAATGAAATTGATATATTGTCATGAAATGTTTCCATCTCACAAATCAATTTTTCTGGCAGAAAATTACAACATCTGAAAGTTTTTGGCCAGCTCTGTGAAGAGGCAAAAATTTCTATTTCATGCAGAAAAATCTTTTGCCTTTCCAAACCATTTTTTAAGTTATTTTCTTCTATCTGGAAACTTAACATCTCTACTCAATAAGGACAATTTATTTCTACATTTTTATTACAGTTGAGGGGGCAAAAAGAAGGAAAGATGATCCTGTGAAAATGTTATTAGTGATCCAAGAGGAATGTTCTGCCAGTTAATCTTGGTGACTGATTTGGGAAGGGAGTATTTAAGATGCTAATGTGTAAGTTCTATATATTGGTGATAATTCCAGTGCTCTGGCACTTAAAAAGTCATGAATCCCACCCCAAGTTATTTTGTCATTTACTGCTCTAGAAACGATCTTAGTATATGTGTATCAGAGAACATTTCAGTTGTGAACTGTTACCCTGTGATAGACAGCTTTAACAAACTGCTTGCCATTTTAATGATGAAAGATTGCTGCTGGAAGGGTTAAGTGTTGAAAGTTCAGTCATATGCACTTTTTCAAATTGTCTGTGCATCAAGTCAGGCACTGAGTGACTGAACCCCTGGGCCTGGCACTCTGGAAATGGCCGTGCAGGCAAAGGCAGAGGGGACTCCTGTTTTGACTGCAGCCAGCAGCTCCTGTTCCTGAATGATGTGCCTGGTGCTTCTAGGTGGTAAGGGAGGGCAGATGCTCTTGGATGCTGCAGCATAAGCCCCAATGGAGCTCTGAGTCTATTGGCAACAGACCAGTGGCACTTGCTTCCTCATGGGTCTCCCTGCCATGGGGAATGCTTGTCCAGGCTGAGCTGGAAGAGAGGTTGACACCACCTTTCTTGCTCCCCTTTCCATGACTAGAGTACCACCATTCTGCTGTCAGAATTGTTGCTTAGGAAAATAGAGGTAGGTAGAAATTTCTAATGTAAGAAATTTCTAATGTAAGAAAATATCTCTGTTGATCAGCTCTAAGGGGAAATTTTCTGGGCTTAAGCCATTCATTCATATCTAAGCCTGGGAAAATTCATGCTTTATAATAAAATATTTAAGGAATGTATTCCTCTACATTTCCCCCAATGTTTAGAAATATGTAATTGCAAAACATCAACAAGAACACAGACTTTACAAAACTGTAAGTTCCAGTCTGGTAGAGATCACATAATCAGTAAGTAAAAAGACTGCCTGAGAATGGTTAACTGGATAATCAACAGCCGTAGCAAAGCACGGGCAGCAAGAGCAGTGGGCAAGAAGAGAGTGGGATACAAACATCTTTACTCTGTCCTCAGTCCTTCTGCCACATCCATGCAGAAAAGCCCCAGGTACCCACAGGGCAATACATGAAGCTCAGCAGCTCCTTGGATAGCTAAGACTATTGTTGGGGATTCAGGCCTGCAAACCTCTTTCTGCTTCCTTTGTGTGAAAGCTTTGGGGACTGATACTGCTTTTATAGAAGTCAAAGCTAAGACACTGAAACAGAAGGAGGGCCAAGGCCTAAACTCAGAGATAAATGAAAGGAAAGGGTTACAGAACTAGAACAGCCTTACTAAAGTAAATGTTGGTACTCAAGTCCTATAGGAATAATGTATATTTATAAATACTAAGATGACAGATTCTATAGGGCCCTTTGAAATTCTGAGCACATGTTTGTTTGGGGTTTTTTTGTAAGGGCTCAAAGAATGATTTTTGGCTTGGTTTCCATTTAATCCTGTGATCGAATATTACACTTTTTAGAACAGGTTGCTTCCAGGAGACCTCAGAGACTCTGAGTCATCTGTGACAGGTGAGCTACCTATAATGGCAGTGTCAAAATTGCCTCAGGGTTTATTTGCTTCTTTATGCAATCATTTAACTTGAAATGAGCTCTTACCGCAAGCTCAGGAAGAGTGAGGTAGCTCAGTAGTAACAAGCAGATCTAATGTCAGTTAAGCAACTGATTTTGAGAGATTGCAGTAAATGCAGGCATAGAGTGGGTTTATCATTCTCAGAGGAGTAGTGATTATTCTGAGATAAGCAGTGATTCAATGACATTATGAACAACTTTTTGTGGGGCACAGTTCAATTCAGAAGGTTATACTTACCCAGGTTGTACTTGCACAGACTGAAGGCAGACTTTGCACTGTCCCAATTTTCATTTCTGGAAACAGACTGTAGGAATGTTGCTCAACAGCAATAAGGAAGACATGCTAGGACAGCATTTTCATGAGACAATGAAATAACCTTGTGATTAGTTAGGAGGGGGAAAATCACATTCTTAGTGGCCAAAAGCTATGAGACTAAGGCCATGCTTGGCTTGACCAGGCACACCAGCACTGCTGAATCACTCCCCAGTGTGCTAAGAGAAGGGGCTGTTTTTTCAAGCACATATATATATACACATACATATATGCATATATAGACAATGTATATATAAATCAGTGGAAGAAATTTATAATTAGGCAAAGTGCCCTAACCTAACTTGGAGAATCATTACAATCAAACCCCTCTATATTGCTTTTGAGGCACACAACAGGTTCTGTAGATGTGTAGGAAAAGATGAGACAGGATTTGTCCTCAGGATTGTGTTAATGTAGAGGTCAAGAATCCTTTGAGGACATAACCACATTTTTCATTGCGGCTGTTTATTAGCTGTTCAGCTCAGTAGTGCTTGGGATCCAGCCCTGCTTGGAGGGAAGTGTGCTGCCCTTCAGAGCTGGGTTTCCCAAATGCTGTTCTGAATGGCTGAACAAACATGCTGAAGTTTTCAGCAAAGCACAGGTTGCTGGAATGCCAGCCACTGTCATACACAACTTCAGAAACACACAAAGCTCAACATATCGCAAACCCTAATAATGCAAGTCCTGGAACAGAACAAATCCTCTCTCAGCCTGAACAAATAAGTATATTTCTTGCAACTCTGATGCATTGTACTTCTGCTTTTTGGCTACAATCCCTTGACAGGGCCCATTACAGATCCATACCAACAGGCTGGTCCATCACCTCTGGGGCAGATCTCTGGGCTGCATGTGGGCCAGCTCCAGCTCTGCATTACAGAGTCCTAGTGCTGGTATGGCCAAAGAACTGCCTGGGCATGCTCAGCTCTTGAGAAGGAAAGAGCTGCTTCATACAGACCACTCAGCCATGACTCTCCATGGCCAATTAAGAAATCAAAGGGGAGCTCTGCGCAGAGCTCTGCCACCACCAGGAAGCCTGAACCATGGTGGGAAGCACTGAACCATGTTGCTGCCCAGTGTGGGAGCCTGCAGCAACAGGGACTGAGGGGGCAGAAGGTCTCCAGTAAGTCCCTGCCATGGCAGGAGCAGCCTGTGATGCAGTTCTAGCAAGCAGCCTCAGACTGGATGCTTTGGTTCCCTGTCTCATCCCTGCTCCACAAGAAAGCAGGGGCTTCAAACCTTTTGCTGGAGATGAAAATTCAGCAGTTACCTACCACAGTGAGACCTTTTAGAATTTTTTTCTCAGGATCTCTCTGTCTCTTTCTCTCTTGGTTGTTCTTCTGTTCATCCTTTTTCTTCCTTTTCTTTTATTTTACATTTTGCCTCCTCAAAACAAAAATCTCAGCATGTCAAATGTCCTGCATAGGGAGGGGGAGTGCAGGGGCAGGGAGATCCCAGCCCCTGATGTCACTTGGAGGGGAAGCACCATCAGGGGCTGAGGGAGGAAGCACAACTGGCCTGCTCTGATGGGCCTCCTGATGCTGAAACGTGATCAGAACAAACAAACAAATTAAAAGCTGTAAAACTAAATGACTATTTTTATTTGTTTCCTTGTTGGTTTGCTTTCTCTCTTCTACTTCCTTGTCCCCAGCTGTGGGATCCTCTAGAGAGCAGCCACTTGGCATTGGTATTTGCAGGGCACGGAGCATATGTGTATTAGATCTATTTTAAGCACTCGTCCTGAGAAACAGATCCTTCTCCATGAATCCCCAACACATTTTACAACCAGCTGCATTACTGGTACTAGGATAGGAAAAGAGGAAATGGTATTTTCTTTAGGTTTTTTAGCTTGACCTCTCAGTGGGCCAGTCAGGTTATTTTCTGCACTTGTATTGTCAATGTAAACTGATAACACCAACCTCTCATATTCCAGCTACAACATGCAAAATAAAGTCTCACCAACATCATTTCCCCTTTCACTTACTATCTTCTTTTCACAAAATAGAAATTTATTTTCAAAATTCCTCTGTAAACATGAGTTTGAGCTGAATTCTGGATGCATATTCTCCAACATAATCAAACTTAGATGGAAAAGCCAATGTCCTGAGAAGCTATATAAGCTGGGGTGGGTTTATACAGCTCTCCTCTCCCTCCACTACCTCTGCCTCAAGCTCTGAGCAGGGCTGGGTCAAGTTCTGGTTCCAGCTTTCTGCCTTGTCCTCATCTCCTATGCTATTTTTAATTCTGTTTTTCTAGGCTGAGCAGGGTGCCAGCAGGGGAGAATTTGGCCTCCAGGATGCTTACAGCCTTCCCTCGAGGCCAAATCTCCACACAAGATGCATTTCTTCATGACTTCTTCATCCCTTTACCCCCTCAGCTCTGTCAGCATCCTGCTGGTAAGATAACTCTCAATTTCATTTCACCAAGAAAGAGCTACTGCACATGCTATTTATTAGGAGTTTCTTCTCCACTTTGAAAGTCTCTGCCATTCACCCGGATGTCTCCCTTTTCTGTCGGCACTACCTCTCCACTCCTGTGTGCTGCAAAGTTTACATCCCATTGCAAATTTGGCAGCTTATTTTTCTATTTTCTTCTGCTTGACCATGGTGTTAATACCAGAAGGAGACCTGGATGGGTTCCTGCCATGGTCCATTTGCAAAGCAGAGGTGTATATGCTTTGACAGGTCATTTTTCCCCTATTCTGTAACCCCAGAGGCCTGGAGCTTTCTCTCCAGCTAGTTCACACTGTGTATTCAGTGGGACTCACAGGCTAGTCCCTCCTAACGGCCTGAATTTCCAGCTGCTCAGCATGATATGCTAGCCCCAATTCCCATGGACTGCTCCTCCTGCTCTGTTTTGATGTTGAAACAGCTGTTCCTCGTACCCTGTCACACCCGTTCCCCTTCAGTTTTACCTGCTTTATTGTCTTCTTCCCTTGCTGCCCTCTCTTATGCACATAGCTGCACACAGGGCTCTGCCTCTCCTGCCCTGAGTTGATAATAAATACAGAGTTTCTCAAGTTACATGTTCCGTTCCCCACTAGGAAAATCTCCCTTCTGTCAGGCAACAGGCCAAAGGGACCTCACATTCCCTGTTGCCTCCTGGGCACCCTCTACACTAGTTTTTTTACGATAGGAGTAATTAAGAAAAAGCCTTCATGGACTGTGTTGTCAAGCTATTGGAAAACCAAATTTCTTGCTCCTGAGACACATCCCAAGTGAAGGAGCAGCCAGCCAGCATTTCTCCCAAACCCCCAAACCGCTGCCCTTCAGAAGGTGTTCTGTGTGTGTCTGTGCATGAGTGAGAGACATCTGCATTCCTTTTCTGTTCACCCAGCCACAGAGCACAAATCTACTTTGACACTTCTAGAAAAATGAAAAGATGGAATCTCTCAGGAGCCTGCCTGTGCTGGGGGGGAAGGAGGGGAGCACGCACAGCAGGAGGGAAGTTGACTTTTCTTTATACATATAAGGTTTTTTCCATGCAGAGTTTAAATTATGCCTGATAAAAGGAGTTTCGTGGATGTTTCAGTTCTTTCAAACCCTCCTGGCTTCCTCCCAATTAAATGAGGTTTGTCAAAGCCACAGGGCTCTGCTGCTGCCAGAGAGGCGGACAAGCACTTCCCGCAGTGACATCTCCAATCCCCAAGGGAGAAGATGAAAGTGTCAGTGCCAAGAAAGAGAGAGAGTGTGGAAAAAAACAGGTACAGACAGTGTGAGAGAAAGGGAGAGAGTGTGGAGAAATAGAAAGAATGAGAAAACAGATTGGCATAACATGTCAATCTCTCCAATGTGCTGCCAGAGAGGGGACAGATTCATTTCACCTGGGTTTAAGCACCGTCCCATATTTATTAGCCCCCATATTGCAGTGAGAAGTACCTTGTGGACAGGAAACTGCATGGTGTTATCATAGCAACCAATGTGTTGGGAACAGAATCAAAGTGCACAGGTCTGAAACAAGTACAGTATGATCATGCAAGAACATATTCATGAGTGACTCATTAAACCTGAAAAATTAGGCAATTCTGAATAATTCCCCATGTAGCCATTCCTATTGCCATAGTCGTGTAAGACATTTGCTCTCTTGTGTCACTTAGGCATAACACTATCTTGAAATTTAACTGTACCATTTTAAAATTCTTGTTGCTATGATAACAGTGCAGATTTTAAATATGTTCTGTTCCTGCTTTGTTCTGGAGGATGCCATTAGTCGCCGTCCTCTGAAGGGGAAAGTTAATGCAGAAGGGCAAAGAATGAGCTGGAGATGAAAGGTGAAAGGAAGAGGGGCTTGATCCCAAGGTGTGTGAGAGAGTAAGAGGGAAACAACATTTGGAAAAATAAAAGCTTCCCGCAAGAAATTAATCCCTATTTTTATGAAAGTAATTGTATCCATAACTGTACTTTTTCTAAGTTATTATGACAAGCTGGAAGCTAGAGGATGTTTTTCAAAGGTCAGTTCCTAGGAAAAAAATAATTGGGGAAATCAGTGTTTCAAAGATAAGTACCCCTCCAAATGGCATGTTTCTGATTACTGAGGGGAATGCTAATGGCTAGAAGCTGGCTGCTGGCCCTGGGAAGCAGGAGAGGAAGCACAGGGCTCCTTGCTTTCTGGTGGTCAACTCCTACAAAGGGCAACAGGTTACTGTTGCTATGCTCACCTGAATGCAAAGTGCTAGAGAAAAAGAGTAGCCCATGGTCTAAGAGAGGAAGAAGACTCCCTGTCCTCTGAGTGAGGCTGACTCCCAGATGGGCCTATCCTACAGATACTCATTCCTGTGCCTCTAGCGCTAGAAGGGGGTGCTAAGGCCCAGGTTCAAACCCCACTCATCATCTTCATGGCCTTCATTCTACACGTGCCACCAGTACCTCTGGATATAGCAAGAGGAGAGGTGCAGCAGATTCTTCTACTTATTCCAGTGTGGCTAGTAGCCTAAGGGGTGGCAGTGATGACCTTTTGTAAAACTGGAGCATTTGCTGTCCTTTTCCTGGCCTAAGCCAATCCTGAGACAATTATCTTTGTGCAGTCATCCCTGCACTGCAGCAACTCTGACAAAACTTCAATCTAACCCTTTGCCACCTGTTAAAGCAGAATGTTTTCTGTCCAATTAATCTCTCCTGGAAGAAAGATGAGATCCTTAAATCAAGAAAGAATGATCTGTGCTCTCAACTCAGTGTCAGTCCTGAAGTGCAAAGGGCCTTCTGAGAAGGTATCTCACTCTGTTGTCAGACAGGTCAGACACAGTAACAATTGCAGCTTATTATTCTTAGTTATAGATTTGGTTTATTTTCCCTCTTTTGCCCTCCAGTGCTTTAGAGCAGGCTCAGAAGCAGAGAGGGTAAGCAGTGGGATTTGGGGTTATCAACAGTGTTATGTTATCAAGAAAACATACTGTAAGATCTCTGGCCCAACAACCCAGACACATGGGTTGTTTGGCCAGTTGATCTGAGCTGGCACCTCAGATCCTATCCCCACAGACCAATGTCCAGTCTCAGTAGGGACCTTTCTCACAGTGCAGGAGACATTCAACCCTGGGCATACCATCAGCACAGCAGTTAGTCAAGTCCAATTTGTACTCAGTGAAGAGGATCGCATGTTTCATGGATATGATCCTGGCTTTGACGAGAAAGTACTTGCTCCTTTTGGATACAGTTCATCTCTGATTGTTACCTCCCCAAGCAACCCAAACCCAGTGTGCCAGTTGGTGATGGCACTCTACTGTTTCTCCTAAAACAGCCCACTGTTCAACTTATCAGAGACAAGGAGGAGGAGGGAGGCTTCATGTCCATAGACCAGTGTCATTTTAATGTCTGTTGCATCTAAACTAATGCAAAGTGAGAGTGAGCAATGAGGAGGTTAAGGCTGAAAGCCATTGCTTACCAAAAATCCCATTACTGTTGGGATTAGCCAGCACTGGTAGATGTTATCACAGGGGATGTATAAAGAAGAGCTGGCTTTCATGACACCTTGTTTGGGTTGGCTGGTTTCCCTAGGTTCTCCTACATAGCTAAAAGGTTTATATAGTCACTTTTTTTTTTTTACTGCTGTGCTTTGCCAGCTCTGTATACAGCAAATAGATATCCATCACTGCAAATCAGATATAGGCACCTAGAAAGTGAAGTTCCTATTAGAGGTATGAATCTGGTTTATAATGTGTCTTAGTACAGGAATAAACTAAAGCTGAGGTTGAGCAGGAAATCAGCTGCCACTCCTGAGCCAGAAGCATTTTTATCTGTGAGGTCATAAAGCAAATCTTCATTTAACTCAGGAAAACTACCCCTTGCTTTGGCTGGCCTGATCTCCACAGTGGTGGAAATTGTGTTTGCTCAGGTACTGACAGGACATTGAGGTTTTGTAATTCTGTCATTAACCCTAGGAAAGAGACATTGCAACATCACAGCAGATGTTTGACAAGGGCACAGGGCTCTGGACAAGTTGCCCTGTTTAAGCTCTCCCCCACATGCTGTCCTGGAGCAGGCATTGTGTTGGCAGGTGCTGGGCACTGTCTGGGAGCACAGGGCAAAGGGGAAGATGGGAAAAGAAGTAAGGTTTCCTTTGCTCACTCCCCAGCTCCTGCTCTTGTAAAAGCACAACTGGCGCAAAGTTTGGCTCACATGACTTGTGGAAACAAAGTCCTACAGACATGGATCAAATGCTCTGACTCCCATTGATCTCAGGCCAGAGAATCTCTATAAAGGTCTTATTGTTCAGGGAGATGAACTGCTCTTGGAGGGGAGTGCTGTTAATACCCTTCATGGAGGCAGACACTATTGCATCAGAGGTTAGCAGATGTTTTTCTCAATTTTGTCTAATTGCAAGTTGTATCTGAGGTTTCTTTAACTTCTGTTTTCCCTTTAACATGCTTAACTGCAAATCTGAAAATATTTAGTTGTCTTGTTTGCTGTGAAAGACATACAGACTGGAAGTCTCACATAGTCATTTTCCATCCTCAGGTGCACTTCTGACTTCACCTAGTTATCAGCAGAAAAGAGCAAACAGGGATGTAGTGATCAGATTTCTAAGGCACAAAAGTTAAAGCTAAGTTTGAGATTGTGACAGCAAGCAACCATGAGTATAGGAACTCAATTAGCCTGAAAGACAACTATCTCATTATCTTTCCTAAAATGATATAAATACATAAGAATATAAAAATTTAAAATAAACTCTCTATTGACTGTCTAGATGACTGAATTTCACTGCTCAATTTCTTTAAACACCCACTTTAGTATTTATTTATTCTAAGCGTGAAGCAGCTACAATAATTAGACTGTCAGATTTGGTAAGTTAATGAGGAGTCGCTGGAGTGGAAGGTTTTGCATTTGTGAGATTGCTGAAGGAGAGAAGCTTCATGCCTTCGCTCTATCTCTTTTTTCTCTTTTTTTTTTTTTTTTTTTTCCCCTCTGCTGGGTGGGAAGGAGAGAGCTTGGCAGTGCTCGGATCCATTTGAATCCTTTTGATTAGCGGGTTGCATTCCTACCACTGTTCTACAAAACAGTATTTTGCTGGCTGTGCCAAGAAAAAGAAAAAGTAAAAAAGAAAAGAAACTGCAGATGAGATTTCTAGAGAAGGGTGTCTAGATAAAAGAAACAATTTTCCAAAAAAATCAGAAGGAATGCAGCTGTGAGAAATAGAATCCTGAGTTAGTTTATATTGTGGATAATGCCACAGGAGAGCATTAGGAAAGTAGCACAATGAAGAAAAAGGACCATTTTGCAGCTTTCTCTTTAACCTGATTTTTCCACAGCACAGTCAGTGCTCACAGTTCCAGGAGTGAGACTGCAACCTGAAATCTGTGACCTGTTTGCTTCTTACCAAAAAGGCCATCTCTCAGGAGGTTTGAGCAAGTTTTGGTAGAAAGTCGGGATGACTGACTAGCTCTTGGGTAAGCATGTGGTTGCCACTGTCACAGCTGCTACCATCATCCTTATCACATGAATTCCTCTGTGTATTGAAGATGGGAAAACGGAACTGACCCAGGGCTGGATGACCACATTCCAGGGTGAGGATGAAGTGGGAAATCTCACATTCAGAGAGAAGAGATCAGCAAGGCAATAGCCCCCACTGAACAATGTTCAGTGATATCATGGGAGGTTTGGGTTTGTTTTCTCATACTCCCAAGTCTCAGACCAGTGCCCTTTCCTCTGATGCCTCCCCAGTCAAAACATTGCTTCATTTCCCCATTGCTTAAACTGACCAAATTGCTTTGTTCGCCTTTGTCCTTTGCCCACCGAGTTCACATTTTAGAGCATACTTGTTTTGATTTCACACACAATGGAACCTGAGCAGAGCTAGACAAAATCTCCGTAGTTTGTAACACACTTGGTTTTAATTAATCCCTATTTTAATATGACACAACTTAAAATGATGCTTCAGCATCAATATTTTTCATTTCCTTTTTGTTACAGAAGACCCCAAAATTACTTAAAACCACTGCTATTGAAAGAAATTACTGGAAGCTCCCCTTTTATTATACCTCGTCTCTTTGTTTACTTTGTGCATTTGTTAGCAGCATGTGTCCTGTCAGTGTCACCGCTGGGTCTGTGCTTGCAGGGCAGACTGGAAACTGATCTTGAGGCCAAATTAGTTTGACTGTCTTATTGTCTGTCAAGCTAAGAGGCAACCTAGCTGTGATAGCAGGGCACACCTCAGCTACCCATCTGTGTTTTCAAATGCATGTAGATAGCATATACCTGCTATAGGATCAGGTCCTAGCACTCAGTGCCTGGTCTCACAGCCTCTCTCTACCCCTTCTGCCCTCATCATGTAGACAACAGCAGGCAGACAGCACACCCTCGAACCCTTTCAAAAAGGACTTGACACTGCCAGCCCTGTGACCAGATTGGGTTTTGGAGGCAGCCTTAATACATTCTCTGCTCACCTGCTCAGCTAAGAGCTGTTCCCTCTCTGTGATCAGAGAGGAACTAATCCTGCCCAAAAAGCTGGCTGTCAGTTCCACTAAGGCTTCTGGGACAACTCACTTGAGGAGGGCATTCATGCTTTAGTGTTCAGGGAACTTGGGTTTGGCCATTTTCACTGATTTAGAGAGCATTTCACAAATAAATCATTAAAAATTGTGAAAACTTGAAAATAGTAGGAGATACTCTTAAACATTTGCTTTTATATTAACCTGCCTTGAAGTGATTGTTTCTCTTTTTTAAAGCTGCTTACAAAGCATACTAAACAAGCTTAAATGTCAACTCAAGTTTTCTTCTGCACTTCATTACAGGAAAGAATTCTATATGTGTTGGTATTATTAATTCTCATTTTAAAAAAGGCATCTGGATTCAGACATGCAAGCAAAGTTATAAATGAAACAGCAATTTTTTTGTCATTTTAATAGGCTACCAGTGGAAAGCAGGGGGTTCTGTATGCTTTTTCAAATCTAATGAGAGGTAGATAGGCATCTAAAGCACAACAGCCTCACGCTGGCACATGAGAGAATGGAATTTCCTGGGAACATAATGAAACTGGCCAGCCTTGTTTCATTTGCCAACCTGAGTTATGTTACAAAAATAGACAAAATCAAAAAAAACCCTAAATGTACCAGGCTCCATCTTGAACCCATGGGCCCTGAGCAACACAGGAAGGGACAAAACATCATCACAGCCTCCTCCTTGTTCTGCTTCTGGTTTCAGGAAAGGAAGAGAGAGTGCCAGTCGTCTATCCCAGGGTGATATATACTCCATGCCGACACTCCATCCATTTTCGACCCTATTCTCCCCACCTCCTTCCCTCTACCTGCTGAGAAGGAACATACGGATCATTGGAATCTGCTACCATTCTTACTCTGCTTCTTAAAATTCAGACAAATAATGTTGTGCCTCTTACACGTATGTGCTATTGCACCAGCTAAGTGTAGCTGAATCTACAGGAATATTAGAGCTTGTTTTAAACCAACTGTTAACAAGCAGAGTGACTGAAGTCACTAGCTCTGTAGAATATTTGTAATCAGGATTTATTTTTCTTTTTGATTCAGAACTCAGGCAATAAATTTTTATCCTAACAGAATTCCTTTGCAACAGGGGCAGATTCTACCCACCATTACACCAAGGACCTTTGAAATAACTCTTGATATTGACAAAATGAAGCAAAAGCTTTGAGATTCTAAAAGGTCAGAGTTTGGGGAGTGGGGTGTATGTTTTTTAAAATCACCTTCCAGTAGAAAAGAATGAAATTGTGCAGATGTCCTGCCTTTTGTTTTTCAGAAAGCAATATCAGAAAGATTCACTTGGCAACGAAGATGTAACAGCACAGTCTGGGCACTGGACTTGCCATGTGGACTCAGCCATGTGTCACTTAATAGAGAGATCCCTGGACCAGAAGATCGATGTGCAACAGGACAGATGGGAACTGACAATTGAAAGAATGTAGAGGCTGATCCAAGGCTTACAGAGACCTGTCATTCCTGGGGTTTGCCTACAATCTCCTTCAACAAAAGAGCTCCTGAGGGAAGGAGGGGATTAGTCAAAAGTTGAGTGAAGTCTCCAGGGAAGATGGTTTCTTGGATAAAGTTGTCAACAAAAGGAATTGTTTAAGACTGTTTGCTATAATTTCCTAGAGGGAGCTTCTGCCATTACAAACAGGATTACCAGCATACTGGTTCCACACCAGCAGAGCATTAGACATGTGCAATGCAGACTGGTTACTCAGAGCTGAATTCAGGAGTCTTCTTATACTGGATCTCAAATGTATGCAGCTGTTGATGAGCAGAGGGGAGATGGCAAAGAATTAATATAGAGCCAAATGCAGTCCATTTTTGGTCCAGCTGTTGCAGAGAGTCCTGGCTCATTCATGAGTTACCAGGATGCTTTAATCTCAGTGATCTCAGGGCTTCTGACAGACTATGAGAAGGAAAGCTAATCTGAGGTCAGTGCTGATCAGGATACATGGGGAAATCAGAGAGCTCTTTCCCAACTACAGTTATTGTGAAACTTTGCATAGATTTCTTCCTGGAAGAACTGGGAAAACAAGTAACTTACTGTGTTCAAGTGCTAGTCTGCTTTATTTCAGTTATCTGGGATACTTTTTCTTAGCTCTGGGACATCCAAATCCTGAAGACTTGATGTAATCTCATAGCAGAAAAGGAAGACAAAGATAAATCATTAAAGTGCAGGCATACAAACCTTCTTGAATACTTTTTATTCATCTGAGTACTGTCACTGGCATGACTGGGAGAACATCTCTGAGCAAGAGCTATGCAGAGCATTGAGGCACTGGAACAAAACCGGTCAAGGAGCTATGGGTGGCAGCCATAGAAGGAGCTGAAACGTGAGCTTTTAGTGTAAGGTAGCAGCATTTCCACCCCAAACACCATGGTCAAGCAGATGAAAAGGCAAGTTATGTCCCAAAATTCTTTCTACCTCTAGATTGCATGAACCCAAACCTCCCAAACATCAGCCATTCTCAAAGTGACTGTGACCTGGCTTCCCTTTGCAATACTGAACACTGTGGCTGTAAATGGTGCCCAAGGTGGGATGGGGGTGTTCTGCATTCCTTTTGCCCTCTTGCAGGCATCTGGACTAAGAGCAGTGAAGAAGCAGGATCTGTAATGCCTGCAATGGGATGGTCACGGTTGAATATCTGCTCTTAATTGGGAGGTACTAAATGCTCATGGTATGTTAAATGAAAGGATTTGTTATGTATGAGCAATGAGTGAATCTAATGCAAAGAACTCAGTCACTTCTCCTCATGGTCTATCCAGAGCACCAATTGCAATTTTCTTCAGCCCTGAAGCAGCAGACAGAATGGCTTTGCTGTTTTACAAAGCTACTACTCCATAATGGCCACAGATCTTACGCTAAATTGCCAAAGGGTCAAATGATACCTTCTTTCTGTATCTAGAGAGGAAGAAAGCCAGGAAGACCCTGTCCAAAGGATGTGCTGCAAGCCAGCAGTCTTCAGTTCATTAACTCAACCTGGGAGGCCCAATGCCTTAAACATGCCAGATCAGAGAGAGAAATTGCCTCAGAACCACTCCTCTGCCAAACTAATGGGAGTACTATTTACATCAGGAGTACTGATCTCAGTAGTAGATTTTCCATCCCCTGGCCTGCACAATCTCAGGGGCAACAGCTTTCAGGGAAAATGGATGTAGTGTTGTAATGAGTCAGAAAGGGTAGGTAACAAGAAACACATCTGAATTCATGTATCAGTACCACCCAAAAAGGCAGTTCTGCTTCCCCCATTTCCCACCATGCTTCAGTCTTCACAGTCTTTCTCTCTTTTGCTCTCTGGCACTTTTCTAAGCTCTTGAAGAGCTGATTTAACTCAGTAAACAGGTGGAAAACTATGAACTTTTTTATTGAGTTATTTTTTCATTGTTTTAGTGAGCTGAATCAGATTATGAAGGGTGAGAAGTACCAGACTTCATGTGTGGATGAGTGTGGAGTGGGAAAGGAGGAGCTGGAAAAAGCCATAAAGTTCATACTCTCTTATCTTCAACCTGCTCACATCTGGATCCTGTGGGGTGATCATCCCCTCTCATATCTGAATGTCTAATGTTGTTTTGAGGTAATAACTGAATGGGTTCTGTTGAGTAAGTGCTCAGTACTGCTATCATTTATGTGAGCCCATCTCAAGTCTATATGTTTTTGCTGTTGAACACCTCACCAGAAATCCCAGACGTCGGCATAGAGGTGCAGGACTGACCTTTCTTTTTTTCCAGAACATACTTTCTTTTGGCAGGGGTAGGATAAGTTGGTAAAGCAGGTGAGAGTTTATGAAGTGCATGTAAATGGAAATCATTGTGCTCAAGGGTCATCAAACTGTTTCTTCTCACCGCCTAATAATAAATTAAAACCAAGTCTGAGATTTCTGAAACATCCTCTTTTATGTAAAGAGAGTTTAACAGCAAA